AATAGTTCTCCCAAAAATATGGACAAACTAAAATTACAATTTAGAAACTGTGAAACCTCTTCGTCTTCAGAGATTTCGTCTGACAGTGAGCCTGAATTAATTGAAAGATCTGTAATCCAGAAAGTATGTTTTTATTTCCATCTAGTAGTGCGACATTTTAGCCCAAGGATCCAGCCCTTTTAATTCCACCCGACTATACCTTACAGTCAGTGGAAGATTTGGTAATTTTATACACTAGCGTAATTTGTATTTCTTAAATCTCTTAGGCTGCAGATATAAAAGTTTCGTTACTCGGAAAAATATCTCAAGTTTTTGATAAATACGGTAAACTTTTGTTGCTTGCATCAGTCTTAAAATTCATATGTTTAAATGATAATGTGATACCAAACATTGTGTTCAGTAATTGCAAACAGATTTTTTCAACATGAACTGCCCAAATGACATGCTACTTATTTGATTTCGGATGTGTAAATATATGATTATGGTCTACTGAGTTCATATGATACTGTCTCGTCGAAAGTTTTATGGATCGTTTCCGTGCGTACAATAGTGCTAATTGTGTCACAAAAGTGTGTGGAATACATGAACAATTTTAAGAGTAATCAATTTTCCCCAAATTTATCTCAAAGATTTATTTTACTGTTACATTGTACCTAATTCACTTTACTTTTCAGTTGTCATCCGTTCGATTAATTCGGCAGTTGTACTGAATGAGCGATCTGTGCTTTTTCTGGAAGACGGCAAGCATCTGGGTGAGGTGAGTGTCCTTTTATTCCGAATCATTCGACGTTATCAGTAGGCAGGCTATTGTCTGTAGTTGTGTTAAAGAATTAGTAAATCAACGTTAATTTCCCACCAAACATTATTTTCAATTATTATGTATTGATTTTGGTAACAACTGTATTAGACTTCGTATAGCCCTACTCATTGATCTTTCGTGAACATTCGATGGCTAAAGTAATGATTTAAACATTTTGAGTACATACGACATTTAACCATGCCATGAAATATTAGGCTATTAAAGGACCTATAACCAGTAAAATAAACCTGAATATTCTTCGACTATATATGGTTTAGAGATTAACTGGTTATTCACGACTGCTACTGAGTGACGAAACATGATTACTTGTTCTTTGGTGATGCTAAATTTACATCTGTCCTGTGTCTACTACTTATTGATGTACAACAAATATTTTTATGGAGACCGCTTCAGAAATAGATGTGCACAATTCATGAGTCTAACTAAATATTTTTCAATCCAATCAATGCGGATAAACTTGACCTAGTATACAATAGTATTGTATAGAACAAAGTTCAGAATCTGAGATTTTTCAATCATCGCTCGTTGGAATTCCGGAATTTATGCCTTTTATGCGAATATCATATGTATTGTATTATTCGTGACTTATTATTATGAGCATGATTCAACTTAGCATTTTATTTATCAATTGTATTATCATAACAGATTAATTTGTCAAGATTTGGTGACACAGACTACATGGAAATTCATAAATTGATTGTTACGTGCATGGATTGAATAATATATATAATCCTTATTTGGCTTTTCAATTAGGATTCATCCCACATTTTTATGATGTATCGGTAGGGATGCAGACTATTATGTCTGTATTATTCAACTAGGTAAACATAAGTGACTTCATTTCGAGAAATTTCAACACAGTACAACTCATTTACAGATTAAATCTAATAAAAGGAGACTAAATTTTCACGCAAATTAGCATTAAGCCATATAGTTAATGGTATAATCAAATTATCTAAACTAAATAAATAGGTTCTAAATTGATGATACAGAATAGTAGTAGGTGTTTGAGCAAACTTTTTGTATTGATATCTATCAAAGGTTTATGAAACATTTGGCCCAGTACGTACTCCATTTTATCTGGTGATCCTTTCCAAATCATTTTGTGTACCCGAGTTAAGAAATGATCAGATCTCAGGTTCACGCAATTATACAATTTCAAAATCAACGAACTATTCTGAAAATTTGGAACCTCAAACACCAATTGAATCAGTTACTAATACTCAACTTGATAATGACAATTCACTTAATGATAGCAGCAGTCAGAATCCTTGTGAAATTGAAATACCAATTACTGACAACAGTGATGCTATCAATTATGAAGAAAAGAGAAAAGTTAATCATTCATTGAAAGAAATATCCGTGTTCTATGCACCCGATATACCTGAACTCACTATTCCTGTCTTTTACAACCAATTAATTGCTAGTAACACCAAAGGATCAGATGCATCTTGGGTAGGCGATACGGAACCACCTCCTGAGGTAAGTTCATAAACTCAGCATCTCTTGTTAATATGATAGTTCGATAGACCATATTAGGTAATTTTCTCTTCATCCATAATCCAGTAGTGAAAAAAGGAACTTTGACACCACCTCAAACATTTAAATGCAGTTATCCACACCCTTTCGTTATGCAACAAAATAATAGCTCTAATTTAATTAGAGTACGGTATGGTATGTCTAAACAATGATCGAAGCTGAAATAGATGATGGTTCTTTTCACATTTTAAAAACATATTGTTAAATAAGATGAGCAGATGTGGTCATTTTCATAGCCACTTGAAAATTAGTTCACTCTTACGAAATTCCAGTATACTGTGTAGGTAATATACTACTGTTTTATAAACTGCAAACATTCTACATGATAGATATGTTTGGAAACTTTTTATACACCAAAATTATAAAACACTTGTATACGAACAATAGAAATCTATTACTAAAGATTTTGAGACTATTCGAAATTCGACAGTACTACGTTTCACTGTGATAAGAAATTTTCTGTATAATTACTGTCAATAAATTGGTTTTGACTTAGGCACTGGAATTTTCAGATGACGAACGAGAAAAACTGTATAAACGCGCGTTAAAGATGAAACGAAAATCACAGACACCAGGTGAGTTATTTATACGTTTCTTACAATTGCAAAAGCCTAATTTCGTTTACCGTCTAGTTAATACTTTATTTGGAAGAGGAAAATTAATGTATGATAGAGTAGTTAAGTAAAATGAAAATTAAGATTATAATCATATCTTGTGGTTAAGTCGATATTTATCTACTCAATAAAAATCCTATTCCGATGACAAGCTATCTCCGCTCTTTGATAATCTAATCTCTACGTCAGCACATAGTTGAGAAAGTAGCTAAGACGTTCTGTTAGACTTGTTGAAGCAACTAAACTTATTGTTTTAAAATACTTGCAAAATAATGAATCTGAAAATCACAGAATTTGAATAGTATGGAGGGAGTAACTAGAAACGTAATCCGGTTGTCACCGACTAAAAATGTCGAAATATGTTGTAGAGGAACATTGGCATGATCAAATTACGTTTCCGTATATTAACAGCCTATGAATGACTAGAAAAATGTCACTTAGAAATGCGCTCTTTTATTCGTGAAAGTTTTATGCACTGTCAGTATCAGTAAGTGGATATCACTTTTAACATATATTTAACAATTATAAGCATAAGAGTTTAAACCACATTTGCTTTGATTCCAAACAGAACCAACAAACTCAACCCAAATGTTAAGCCGGCCAAAGAAACATGATAAGCGGCATAGTAAACCATCATTTGCTGTAAACAAACATCAAACTGCATTTGCGTCGAGCGTTCAACCCGTAGATCGTGCCTGTGGATATTCACTTCAACAACAATCCTGTAGCCTAAGACCTTGTTTGCCCATCCAATCACCAAATCACTGGAATATGTATCCTAGCGTTCAACCTCAATGGCAAAATCCGACTTATGGTCACAGCACCTGGCCTTCCGTACCTTCATACCATCCGACAGTACAGAATCCTTACCCATATGTACCGCGAAACCCAGTGCCGCCACATCCATTTTCATATCATTGTACGTTTGTCGGTAAAGCATTCAATTTCTATAATATATTATATTTTTCTCTACAGGGTTAATCTGCTTAAAAATCATATGCCATCAAATTGTTTGCATAATTATTAAGTATTGGGAAAGTGCTTTTTCAACATCAGCTATGGTTTCTATGTAATTTAGCAACAAAAGTATCCAGAACCCATTTCTAGATTCATATCTACAAAAGACGTTGTCAAAAGCATTCAAATGAAACCAGATACTAGCAGTTTAGGACAACAGGCTTGTTTCTGTTGGCATTTGGCGTAGGCTTGTCTTTCAACCGTTGTGATTAGTCGTCTACAAAAACGTTGTTTAGATTGTCATATTAAGAAGCTTGTAGAATTTACGCCTCCACTAAATCCCTGTAGAACTGCAAAACAAATCGCTTGAATGCAGTTAGCGATCTATGGAACTATAAATTTTTCGGTACTGCACGAAGGTCAGTCAAGGCAGTTTCAGTATTTTTCTAAATATACTTTTCTTTTACTAGAGCCTTTTCCCAATTTTTTTCTTTCTGTTCGATTCGAAATAGATGCTCTCCCTGAAGAACCTTACCAACAGAATTCGTGGTCACCGTATGCTCCATCGTGATTACAAAATTATTCAACGTTTCATAAACCATTTATGCACAAAATATAAATATATAAGTATATAGCGATTAAGTGATCTTTTTTATTATCATATACCAAATATTATTTTACTACCATCTTATAGTTTCTAAGCTTGACTGTGCACAAGCGTAGTTTTTACAATAGTAGCACCTGAAGTCTACCTTAGTACTCAGGTGTATACATGTTGGGGACGTTAGATCCCCAGAACTCACTTGTGAAAGGACCTAATTTTGTAACTTCATTTAGAAAATTTGAATTTCTTTGTTTCCGCGCCAAAGACGCTCTTGTCACCATGTCGTATTTCCCACTGAAAAATATCTTGAATACTATCGGTCCGTTGCGTCTTTTAGTATGCTATTTGGTAACTCTCCCCAAGGGCGGTTTTGTACTGTATATATACCTTTTGAATTATGTTTGTTGTTATCGCTCGTTTCTGGCTGTTTGCAGAATATATTTCCCCATTCCAAGCGTGGACTTCTTCTAGTTAGCGGGGCTGGGACGCATCAATAGCTAGCTTACTGGTCACCAACTCTTGTTTTTCGTTCGCAGATTAAGTGAACTCGTGATAGCTTCAACAATAGCAATACATTTGTAAAAGTATCGTTTGAAAATTTGACTAGTTTTGATGGTAACTAAATCTTAAGATTATTAATAAATTACCAAAATTCTGTGTCTAGGCAAGGTTGGCGAAAAATTAGTCGTTGCGAACTGAATGCATCATATGACTATTCTCAATGATTATGGGCAAAAAGCATATTCTGAATGTGGACACCCCGATGAAGTGTAATTCAACTTTGAAAAAGAAAATTAACCATTGAACCAAGTAGCCCTATTTTTTCTAGCTCCAATTTAGTGTACACAAAGTGGAATGAGTGTTTTATAACTGAAATCTAAAAACAAGTGCAATAAAGTTCATGCTAAAGGTTATACATCGATATTTAAGTATATTACAGAATGGTTTATTTGAGAATGTTAGACACGGAATGTACGTACAACGCGGACAATGCTTTGTCTACATAGTGGGCATTCAGTCAGCTTTCTTCCGCAATCAACACAAGAAAATAAATGACCGCATTCTAAAAAGACACAATTAACTGGAGCTTCCATACAAACCCCGCATTCATCATTCAAATCAACTGGACATTTTTCACTCGATGTTCCAGCATTCTGACAATCTTCAAACTCTACTGCTTCTTGAGCTTCAAATATGACTGTAGAAAGAAAACATAAAACAACGAATTGATCAGTGTGTTTTTATGGACATTATTACGGATTCTTATAGAATTGTGATGTTTTTCATACAAATAAACAAAAATCGATATTGACACTATTTCTATATGTAGATGGATGTGGATAACAGCAAGTTAACGTGTCGAACTGAGAAGACATTTTAGTCAAATTGTCTGTTTTCTCGCAATCTCTGAAAACGCACTTTTGTCCTAATCAGAACTATCACTAACGAAGTGCATTGCTGTAAGCATTCCTTCAGAGACGACTATGGTTCTCTAAACATCTTCAGCTCAGAGACCTTGAATTATCTCTCCTTACTTTGCCTGATGTGTTATACAGAGCCTCCAAAATACTGGTGTTTTTCAGACGCTCGTGCTTAGTAGACAATTTTAGAGCAAAATCCGGTCTAACGAGCAGAAAGTGTTTCTGATGTTAATTCATGGTTGTTGCTCTGTGAAGTTTTTCATGAGACGAAGTTTTTTTACACCCACAAAAGCATTGTTTGAAGCTCATGTAACCGAGTACGTTAATCTGATCAAGGGTTTTGGATTTGATATGATTACCATTCAAGGAAGTTTACGAGTAGAATTTGAAATTTAGTACGTATATTGATTAGCTTTATGCGGTTTCCATGAATCATCACTAAGGTCATAAATTATTTTTCCAACACTGGGACTCACGTGGTTGTTGCTGTTTGTAATTGCGCCATAACTGTTTCGCTCTGGCAATAAGTTCAGCTTTTTCCACACAATGAGTGAAGTCAACAAAATTGTAGACTAAAAGATCTTTGATCTGACGAACAGAAAGATTTTCAATGGATTCTTCTGACATCAAGTCTTCAAGTTTGACGTTACGTTTTGTTGAGTCTGGAAACTAAGCATAAATTATATTTTCATCGATTGATAAGGTCTAGTAAAATTGAAAATTATAGATTACCGGGCTATAAAAGTATATGCACACCGTTTAGAATTTCAATGGATATACCCTGGTACGGCCGAGAGTGGGGAGAGTCCGCTCTCCCTCTCGAAATGCTCTCACATGGCCACGCGTATATAGCCTCTGCCAGGGAAGTCCTACTCACTGCCTTCTCGTGGCGGGGGTGTTGTTTACAAAAATGAGAGGACGAAAAGTGAATGTCCGGCGCTTTAACCGGATTCCAAACCAATGGTGCACATGGGCTCCAGTATCCTGCGTGAACAAAAGGCGTATGAACTAATTGTTGGTCACCGGCTTCCATGGGACTGCATCTCCTTACGATACTCCACTGCCTTGTGGATCAGACCTTCAGGTCGAAGGCTCGGGGAATGGCCCCCTAAGAAAACCACCTGCTTCGGTTTGGGCACCCGGGCAGTATCACAGCCCTCACACATATCGAATGAGATTTGTGTGGCGCATATGTATTTGGTGCCTTCTTGTACCAATATCTATGTGTTAAAATAAAATATAATCCCAATTAAGACAGACGTTTCAGGACAAGCCTATAACACCGAGTTAGTAAGCTACACATATGCTGACGTCCTGAAAGTGATGTTTCTAGGATATGAGAACAGCAATAACGTGAGACAAGTCAACTTCACAGAATGTCCTAGGCGAGTTCTTCCAAGTGGTCCTATCCATCATTCTACTAGTATCCTCAACGCTGTTCAGATTCTGTCACTAGTCTCTATTCCTGCAATTTCCTTGAAAGAGTAAGTGACAGTTTGTGTTTTTTCTGACTGACAAAGGAGCAGTGGCCGTGTTTAAATTACAGCACCATTAACCAATAGACCATAGGTTTGAACGCGCAGAAACTTGGTAGTACTGTTAGCCCTTAAAGCCATACTAGGTAAATGAGTTACATGCTTGTTATGCCCCGATAAGAGTATAGTGACCTGTAGAATTTCAGATTTAAATAATAATAATCATATCCGCAGGCATATTCAGCCGACAAAATTCTAGCCAGTAGGTTATTGTCGAACTCTACTAGTGCTCGTCCTTGATTACACTTTTCTATAAAATTAAATACGAGTTCTTATGATGACACGTTTGACGAATGAGAAGCAGATAAGTTTTCTTGAGTAACGTTGTTACAGTAAGCTGCGATCACGGAAGAAAGAATGTTATTAGTCAGTAGTTAAGGTGTCAAACGAAATAATTTACAGTTTGAGAACTTCAAAATGAATGGATAAATAGGCAGTAATAGGTATCACATGCTTTTGGTACTGATACGTTTGATAGTTAATGCTTTGAACGTAAGAGGACAAAACTCATATATTTAAATGAAATTTACAGAAGATGGTTTTCCTTAGGTCATAAGACATTTATTCTCTTATATCCCAACGTTAAACACTGGTTTAGAATGTTGACAGTTTTACTGATTTCCCTCAATACCATTTAACTTGCATCGGGATAAAAAGGTTAAATCTTGTTAAGTAAGCATTAACAAATTGATATATTGCAAAATCGGACATTATTTTTGTGAAGTAATTTAGGAAAACTTGAGTAAAAAAGTAAAGTGATAAGGTGTCAAACGAAATAATTTACAGTTTGAGAACTTCAAGATGAATGGATAAATAGTATTTTTGTGAAGTAATTTAGGAAAACTTGAATAAAAAAGTAAAGTGACAATTGAGTCTGTGGTTTATTAATTTTAAACTAGTGAATGCACTGGCGATCTACATTTCTCTGAGTAAACAACAATAATGAAGTTTATTTTAGCAATCCAACCTCTAAAACTTTATTCTGTTGAGAAGCACTTTATTTTAGTACATAATGTTAAGGTACGGTCATCCCTTATTTATATAATACATAGGATTTGAAGTAAGGATCTAACTTTACCAAAGGACAGAATCTATTAAGACAAACAAAATTTCTCGACAAAACAGACTCAAGCCCAAAAAGTCCCTCTAGATTCTGACATTTTCGAATATTCGAGAGTTATCAAGCAGACCACGCTAATAAGTATATAATGAAATAGTTTTTTAGCTTTTTGAAATCTTTAAATGATATTCGGAAGAGATTCAATGTTTCTATTGCACAGCCAATACTATTTGTGTAGAAATGAAAGTAAAAAATACGCTTGATCTGTACACTAACCAAATGGTCATCAGCATTTGTACTTCGGGTGGTAATGCCTAGACTGCTCAGCACTGCATCCACAAATTGCTCTTTCTCAATCAGACCAACGAACGGTATATTACGACGTCGCATAAACCATTTTAAATCACGGATATTAAGACCCATTACTGAATCCCAGTTGGCTTGATTTGACTGTAAAACTCTGCACCGGTTGCATAAAATTGTACGATCTGTAAAAATGCAACAAATACATTTCTAAAACATGTTATGGTAAGATCAACACTTCGGTTAAATTCTTTCATGCCACGTGTTAAGAGTGCGATATATATTGGTATGATTCGGGTGTTTGTCACAAATATAAGACCAGATTCTTTACCTTCAACACGTTTTTCTGATTTTCGTTTTTTCTACGGAATAAAGCTCCATAATTAATACAGAGCCAAGATGCTTTTCTAAATCTTTTTGGGATTCCAAGTATTATTTTAGTACTCTTCCTCACGTTCGAATTCAACTTAATCACAGTCAGACTTGCAAAATAATGAATACCAAACTTCTCCTTAAGAAATAAAGACTTCAATGTTTTTCATTAGGATGGTTTATGTGTGGGTAGAAGTGAGCAATTAAGTGAAATTGTTGTGAAACTGGCAGGAAAAAGAAGAGTAGATGCGATTTTTAAAATTGCATGTAATTATGCTGATAACTTCCAGCTTTTATTCAGAAACAACATAAGTAGTTATTTACATTTATTCATGGGGACTGGGATTTTACCAACCACTCCTTTACTTAATTGTTGTGACCACCATAAGCAGAGATGGATGGTAGCTAGCAGTGGAGTCCAGGACTCAGGTTTCGCCCTATTTGTGGCTCGTGAGCTGGATGCACCTACATCTCAAAGTAGATGTACACTCTGGGACTCAAACTTAGGCAATCCGCACAGGACGGGCATATGCCAATAATCGACTGGTCAATTGCAGTTCTAAATATCAATAGAAAGATTCGAACAACCAATAGAAGAATTATATGGCCACTGTTACGACGGGAGATTTGAAGCAGCACTAATAGCATTGATACTTCCATCTCAATATTTGGTTAATTATTTGTTATCTGATAAGTTAACGCACTACTTTGACTGGATATTCCGCCTACAAAAATCGGCTTAAATTTGATAGATTTTATAGACGAAATGATGGTGTATCGATGGGGTCATCACTCGCCTCACTTCTAGCCAAGTATTTCACGCAACACATTCCTAGAGCAGATAAATAGTTGCAACCAATCAATTAAGTTCGCGACAGGGTCACAACTGAACTCTCGATTCCACTTCTTGGATGTTTGACTAGGCAAGACATCAGATAGATCACTGCAAAGCTTGGAATGTAGAAAACTAAATAGTCGAAAGAAAAACTTGTTTCACTTTATCCGCAAGTGTCAGACAAAAAATGTACCGAGATAGATTTGATATACAACTGAATAAACTCCAAAAGACAACAATAACAGCTCTCCACCTGTTGTCATCGGAAGATCTACTGAAGGAAGAAGAAACGACTATGGAGGGCAACTGAAGATGGATTAAAGAGGCACTTACTTCAATATGTCAGGAGGTGCTGAGCCGTAACAAGCATCATCATAAGGAATTGGACTGTATCGAAAACCTGGACAAGATTCAAGAGAGGAAGAGCACGAATATAGCAATTAACAACTATATGACACAACGAAGAAACTATCAGAGAAATATAAGAAACCAGAGCGAACTGTCAAGAAAATCAGGGAGAACTAGTTAATGAAGTTTAAGTACAGCGTAACAGGTGGGTAGAACACTCTAAAGAACATTTGATTAGATCAGACCTACGGGACCCACCAGATCTCGAGACAACACCTACTGACGTTCCTATAGATATCACTCCGCCAACAATCGAAGAAATCAGGATGACCATCAGACAAATCAGGAGTAGGAAAGCAGCAGGATCTGAAAGCATACCAGCCGAAGCACTGACGTAAGACATAGCAGTAACTTCAAACACACTTCAAATTTTATTCAGGAGGATTCGGGGGGAGAAAAAGTGCCACCGACAGACTGGAAAGAAGGATATCTCATCAAGATACCAGAGGAAGGAGATCTGATTGAATGTGAGAACTGTAGAAGCACTATAGTACTATCAATACCTGTTGGGGAAGTTAGATCCACAAAACTCATATTTTGTAATTTTATCTTTGTGGAGCTTGTATGCAGATGTATGCTTGGGCATTTCTTACCACCCACGCACATAGTCGATTGACGAACTTATCGATTAAATGTTTAAAAACTTCCATGGCAATATCGGTTTTATATATATATTGTATAAATACGCTTGACTGTATGCTTGAGCAACCTGTATCTTCTGGTTGTCTGTAGAATACACTTCTTACATCTTACCAAGACTTCTAGATCGAGCTAGCTGAGTCGAGGACAACGGACCAGTATAGCCTATCGAGTCTCTGAATCCTTGATTCTTCGTTCCGTTCCGAGTAAAACGAATCAGTAGTAGCATTCAAGTTAACGAACATAGCAACACCAAGAAAAGTTTTCAACAGTGTTGTTAAAACGAATAAAAGACATAGTGAACGCACAACTTCGAGATAAATAGGTTGGACTCCAGTCAGTCAAAACGTGGAACCTGTATGTGTTTACATCACTTCCAGTTCCGATACCCCGATTAAAACAGAGAGATGAAATGGTCAGACCAAATCCCAGAATAACACAGGCGGTAACACCGTCAGCGGTAATAGGAAACATTACCATCGAAGGCGCGACTCGAAAATAAATTATAAATTAGCGAAATAAAAACATAAAAGTCATAAGGAATTTAGAATTTTGAGGAAGAGGAAGAATGGATGCACCTGAGCCGTCGCAAATGATTTTAGGCCATATTATTGAAAGTCTCCAACCAAGTAGTCTACACCTATTAACATGGCTAAGTCCAGTTTTCAGTGACTTCACAGACTGACGCTATGTTTTGATTTAGCCTCCCTCAACTTTCTGCATACTCCTACACCGGACAACATCACCAGTTGAGGTAGGCGGTTGATTGGCATATGTAACACGTCCTAATCACCTCAGTTGATGAAGATTTCCTAACCCAGGCGTTGCTTACTCCGTGGTCCGAAAATGCACAAGTAATGTTTCAAAGATACCTATGGTCGAATACCAGTAACCTATGAATATCCTCTACTCTTAATAGCCATGTTTCACATTCATAAATTAGAATGGAGAGAAAATTAAGTAATTATTCCGACATTTATTCATAATTTTTTTCCATATTCATCAAATAGATAATTATCTATCGTCTTTAAACTGTCTTCATCTTAACGTATCCTCATTAAGTACTAGATTACTACATAACTTCCTTCCAATATTTGATATTCCCAAACAATTCATGAAGCAATACAGATTACGATAAATTTGTTAAATTACGCAACACCTTGTTTTACTATACACTATCATATTCGATATTTAAAACTTTTGATTACTGTTGATAACTTTTTTAGGTAACACAACACCTTTTTATTTCATTATAGACCATTATTTTCAAAAATTAAAAAATAAATGCGACTTTCTAGCTAAATAAAATATTGTCAAAAAGATATTTTTTAGATGAATTGTTTTAATTCTTTTCTATCACACAACTATTTAGTTAATTTCAACGACACGATAGTTACAAGCACAATTCAATTCTTAAAATGGCTATTGGAATAATAATCAGTGAGAATACAAATAATAATAAGAACAATTCTACAAACTAAATAATCTGGAAAACCAATTTATAATACTGAACAGCTAGTCACGTATGATACTAAATATTGCTCATTTAATAAAATTAAGCTGATTAATCTGCAGAGCAAGCGATTAAAATAATATAGTGATAAACAACAAATCAATGATGAAAATGAAAGGTCAATTCCTACCACAGAATACAATGCTACCTTTGTTATTAACGTGTAAGTAGCAATGATACAAACAACTACCCCAAACAATAACAAATCAATAGAGTGTGATCGAAGTTATTGTACAATTAAGAATAATGTCTGGATATTACTTCTGAATTGATCAATACTATCCAGGAGAAATACAGGTTTTAATCAAACCGTAACCGAATGAGACCGACTAGTGAGCTAATGAAGAACAGAAAATTCCATCCACCATTTCAATCCCGTAGTCTGAGGTTCACATTCTGCTACTTTAATCAGTTTATTAAATTTATATGCTGTTGATCACCAATAATTTACAATTCTCCTTGAACTTACCTACTTAATATCCTGAAGAGTAACATGCTAGTTAATCTTCGATCTAGCTGTTTTAATGACAGGAATAGTGGGAGTGAATCAATATTGCCTGTTGCCCTATAACCTCCATTTATATCTTTAATTAGTTAACTGGGTCGCACCATTCATTAATTAGCTCGTTTTTATATAAGTTTTGTTTCTCTATTACGCACTTAATTAGCAAGGTTTGACTTTTGAACCTGGTCTAGTTGAGAGTGGGGGCTCAGTCCTGTGGTTAGATTATCTTTTCGATCACCTTAATCAACAAGTGATTCGAGAGACATGTCTCACAGCTTTTTATCTGACCAATTTTTCGTTGTTGTAAGCAAATCATTTCCTTGAATTTAGATAAGATGAATCGTGTGGCGCATATATATTTGTTGCCCCCCTTGTACCAATATTTGTGTTCAGATAAATAAACAAATCGTCTAGCACTAATCTCTTTAGGTGCAACTACACAAAATCCTGGTAAATGACAGTCTCTAATGTTGTTTTGAAGTGTATGTTATTTAGGACGCTTATACTTAATACGCTCAGACGTTAAGATGGTCTTTTGTATGTATATACATGACATCTGAAATGAAATCGTAAATTTTTGGTGAAATCCCTACAAGTCTCATTATAATACGTCTAAAAATTAAATTTTAAATTTGTCAATAAAAATTATTAGGCGTCTGAGTTTCCAAGCATCAGGAACTTAATAAGAATGATATTAAAAAGTTGGTGAAACATTATATTTTAAAAATATTTGTATCCTAGCTCAACTTATTAAAAACTAACTCGTACTTCGGTTTAACCAAATCACCTTTAAACCTACCTGGACCAGTTGAAGAACAGGCTGAACAATAAAATTCATTACACGACTGACAAATGCCAGAACCAATTTCTGGAAGAGTAAATTTCTTCGGGCAGGCTGAGCAAGTGTTAGGCATAAGTTTTCGAATGAATGAGAACGTCCGATGTGTCAGTCAAAAAACGGTTTTTGTATTCAGGTATAGTTCTCCTTATATTGTATATCCACATATTCATATAACATGGTAAAAAATGTCACTGAAGTAATTAAATATAAAGTGGGGTTTTTACTAATTACTTACATAAAGCCACAATTATCCCATAAATTCATAGTCACTTTGAATGAATTAATTCTATTTTTCTAAAATGACTTGATTTCAGTTGACTATTACCAGAGGGGATCGGACGTACGTCTACAAGTTCTTTACAAGCTACCATCGAATTCTAGATATGATGCAACAACATGTATGTACAAAAAATTCCCATATCAATTAAGATTTATCAGTTCAGTCCCATACAACTAATAATGTAAAAGTTTGAACTTGCATAAAATTTATTCCACTTTGTAGCAAATCAAACCGATACACAATGGTGGCAAGTCCTAATTAGTCTATTACTAACTGGCTGTTTGAACAAGTCCTTAAGGTTTGCTTGCAATCCATGTTTTTTGGTATCATTGTAGTATACCTGGATTTTATTATATTCTTAATAGTAATCAAGTGTTTACATGCTGGGATATTTGATTTTGAGACCACGAGGTATTCTCCAAACATATTTCATTTCTCAGTGAATTGAAATATAGATTGAAACGAATATATTTGATGTTTATTGAAACTTCTGCACAAATGACTAAAAATGAGGTGAAAGATTGAAGTACATATCACCCTAGTGCAGAATCACAACCGAATCAGTTGGTAATTACTTAGAGGACCGTGAATACAAATAAAAAAATAATCATAGAAACGGTGTGCGAAATCGTAAAAAGTAAATACATAACGACAGAAACTTACAAACAAACCGTACTGATGCATTTAGGATTCCCGTACGCCTACGGAATCGATAACTTTGAATGGTGTTCGTCGTAATGGTTATCTGTTTATCTCGTTTCTATTTAACTTCCTCAGAGACATCATCTTAGAGCTAACGCTCTTATCGTCTGACTTTGGGGGTTCATGTGCTAGGGGATCCACTTATTGACTTAAAATATGCAGCTGACATGGCCCTGTTTGGTGAAGACAAAAAGAAGAGTCTTCTGGCCCCCTTAAGCAACAATGCTAGTATGTTTGGGATGCATTTCTCCACATCTATATGATAAATTCTCCTTCGCAACTGGCATGCATCTGAGAAGGTTGGGACATGTACTACATATATCCATCCACCGACTACCCCGACGAGGTGGGTACGGAAAATCAACCTAGGGGAGTTGAAAAACCTTGATTCCAAGTCAATAGTACACATGAGCTCCAGGAACCTATTCCTGGTCACAGGCTACCATAGGATTGCATATTCTAACATTGCTTAAGTGTCTTTTGGATTAGAATTCTGAGTTAACTGCTCGAGAATTTCCTCCGTAGGAAAACCACCAGCCTCGATTTGAGCACCCGGAGAGTAGCCTAGTTTACACACAAACATAACGACGATTACAAGCAACAAAACATTTCTCGCTTTAATTCATAATTACCTGATAACATTCACTTTCAGTTTACATCACTTCACTAATTTATTTCCCTTTATTCCCTTTTTCAGTGTTCTTTTAGTTCTCAACTCATACAGCAGCTTAGCTATAATGGAACGAATACGAGTTCTGAACTGACCTTTCTAAAACCACATGTCCCTTTCAAACTGCTTCAATGTTCACACATTAATGCAAATCGGACAGCAGGTTGGTTCGGTCATGTATTTAAAGAGTCTTAATACAAACGTCCATTGTTTATTCCGACTCTAGTGAAGTGTTGCACATTTGTCGACGCGAAAAGCTTTTTTCACATGAGTTTATCCAAGGGCCATGGGATATTTTCGTCCGGTCTTGATGGCCTTAGTGTCGCACTAATCACCAGAGTTGAGACAACACTAATCGATTGGATTCTCATTGACAGTCAATTATGTGCTGTTAGATTAGAAAGCTCCATTCAAGTGAAAAATCGGTGTAGCAGACAATATCCTTTCGTTATCTTCGTCTGTGCCCCAACATATTGCAACCAGCATGGAATTAAAAATGAGTTTCATCGCCAGTTAAGCGATCTTCACTGGAAACAGCGTTCAGGAGATATTGTAGTGCCAGTCGAGGATTTGGACGTGCAAGTCCGGTATATAGGCACAGGGGTTTATCTAAATGGCAAATGAAGACTCGCTGGTCACAAGTCACGTAACAGAGGCCTGTTTTTACAGATTTGCGCAGACCATCACCTGTTTTTAACCAGCACTAACTATCTACATAATTACATAACGGTTCGAGATGAACAATCTACATTCATAAGGAAAAGTTATTATGTCGCTGTCTTTTCGATTAGCAGGCAGATCAGCCTGAATACTTTACTAACTTTATAACCTATGTGGGACCGGTCACACTTGCAATATTTTTACTTTATTTTATATAAACTATTTGTCAAAAAATCTGCTTTCTGACTGAATAAAACCCAGCTGGAGGTTCTTCGGACTTGTTTTAAACTTGTCCCTAGAGTATACTTTTATCCCTACTGATAAAAACAATAATTACTGACAACGTATTGAAAAATGTCGAATTTTTAATAACTGTATTATTTATCATATATCTATGTATGCAGTGTTCCCATTAAGTCTGCATTCGATTCATCTATTTTGAAAATTTGACATACCTTATAGTTAAACTCACATCGTATTACGTACCTCCCACTAACTGCACTTCTAAGAAGCCTTTAAACGTCAGCATTCAAACGATGCGGCTATTCAGATTCAGATCCAGATTTGTGTAGTAAGGACAGAAGACCTACAGCCTATGTTATTCCTTTCCTAGTATGCTTCTACGAGTGTCCATTCTTCTCTTAAATGAGTCAATTGAAGGTGCGAACACCACTACTTTGGGTAAACGGTTCCAAGGATTGATGACTCGATGTCAAAACCTGTATGCTACGGGTATTTTGCTCGTTCTTGTCTTTTCTACTTGCCTACTATGTCCTCTGAGATGTCCCGATCTAGTAGGAAGAAAAGGAGAGGATATATTATGTCCAAAATCACTTCTTAATATCCTATACATCAAGATGAGATCACCTGTTAATCTACGATAGGACAGAGAAAGGAGGTCCAGCTTCTCACACTGCTCTTTGTATGGTAAACCACGGAGTTCTGGAATTGCACGGGTTGCTTCCCTCTGTACATTTTACAGGATATCCGAGTCACCTTTTAAATAGGGGCTTGCAGCCTGAATGCAGTTCTCAAGCTTAGTTCTCACTACGATTGTGTATGTTGTAGTGAACTTGGTAGTATCTGACTTAGGGAATGTCCGTCTTATAGCCTAGAGGGTTCTAAACCCCTTGTCTGCAACCTCCCGGCAGTGGGCCATGGTCTTAAGATCATGACCAACTGACACCTCAGGATCCTGTGAGATCGGACCACGGGTACAGGCACTTCTCCTACGCTGTTCATATTTATCTTTGTATCTGCAAAGTGTATGTAGGCACACTTTGTAGCCTTGATAGGTGTCAGCCATTCTTTAGATCAACTAATCACACTATTTAACTCTGCCTGAAGAGCGTATACGTCTGCGTATCCAGCTGTTACTCGCCAAAGCTTTACATCGTCAGCGTACAATAACATTGGGGACTTAACTATACTTGGAAGATGATTTACATACAGTATAATAAGTAAAGGACCTAAGACGGAACCTTGAAGAACTCGACTAAGTACTGGTCTCATGATAGAGGACTTGGAATTTATTCGTACTTTCTGTCTACGACCTACTAGGAAATCCTTAATACTGTAGCGGTAAATAAATCCCCAGAATAAATAGCTCTGTAAGCTTTCGACATTGAATACTGACCACATTAGTTTCAATGGACTCACCTAGCTGAAGACCCTCGGTCATGCATCGTCACCAGATCACGAGTGGGAACGCCATGCTCAACAACCCCTTCAATCTCTAGCCAGATTAGATCAGACGATCCTTGATAGCCTATCAAATATATCTCCGAACCTCCTCACTTCTGTCTTTGATTTCTCTTGGTGGGTACGAGTTTTTTTAGGTGTTACTGGTTATAGCGTTGTCAAACATTGAATACCTGTGGCATCTTCATTGGCGAGCCTAACGTGGGAGACTAGTCAATAAACTGAGTATAGCTTAAGAACAGTAAATCGTATAATAATAATCTTTAGGTCAAAATGAAACTTACCATTAAGGGAATATAGGTATATGTAGTCTAGTTACTGAACAGTTATACAATAGGTGTATATATAAGCTCATTAATAGGTCTCAAAGTCACTCGTAATTTAATCTTCCCTAATATATAACAAACTCCGCCTGTAGCTCTTCTAGAGTTACTGCCGGTCCCAAGCCCGGGTAAAGGAGGAGGGTTGGGCATGGGGTTAGCGTCCCCATCCCGTAGAAAACTAACTCGCTAAAAAAACGCTTACCAGAAAAAATAATTCAAACCATTTTAACTCTGCCCTGAGAGTTAGAAGGTCTTCATTTAGAAGAATTATGACGCTTCATGGTGAAAGCCGAGTTCCTTCGGAAGCCACGAGGCCGATGCCCCTTCTAACAACCAGAGCAAAAATTTTTATAGGTACATGGAACGTTAGAACAATGTGGGGAACCGGGAAGACCAGCCAAATAGCAACGGAAATGAGGAGATACAACTTAGCAGTACTGGGAATCAGCGAAACCCACTGGACCCAAGCTGGACAGAAAAGGCTAGCTACGGGAGAGATGCTGCTATACTCCGGTCACGAAGAGGAAAATGCTCCACACACTCAGGGAGTTGCTCTAATGCTGTCCAAAGTAGCACGAGATGCACTTGTAGGATGGGAATCCCACGGATCCAGAAACATCAAACCATCATTCAAAACAAAGAATGAGGGAATTACAATAAATGTTATCCAGTGTTGTGCACCCACCAATGATAGCAACGACGACATTAAATATCAATTCTACGAGCGGCTACAATCAATCATAGAGAAGTGCCCAAGAAACGACCTCACCATTCTGATGGGAGATCTAAACGCCAAAGTTGGAATAGACAACACCGGATATGAAGATATCATGGGACGACATGGACTGGCAGTGAGAAACCAGAATGGTGACAGATTCGCAAATTTATTTGCATTCAACAAATTGGCCATAGGCGGCACAATATTTCCACACAAACGTATACACAAATCTACATGGATCTCATCGGACCACACCGCAGAGAAGCAGATAGATCATAATTGCATCAATAAAATATTCTGAAGGACAATGGAAGATGTAGGAACCAGGAGAGAAGCTGACATAACTTCAGATCACCACCTGGTGGCAGCCAAGATGAAACTGAAGCTACAAAAGTACTGGACAATCGGGGGAACAGCACTACAAAGGTTCAATACAGCCTTCCTTCGAGATACTAACGAAATCAACGGATTCAAGGTAACTCTCAAAATCGGGTTCCAAGCATTACAAGGTCTGCTGAAAGAAAAACAACAAACTACTATGGAGGACAATTTGAAAAGATTTAAAGGGGCACTAACTTCAACATGTCAGGGGGTGCTGGGTTACAAGAAACACCATCATAAGGAATGAATTTCTATAGAAACATTGGACAAAATCAAAGAAAGGAAGAACAAGAAGACAACAATTAACAACAGCCGAACATGAGCAGAGGAAGTCCATGCACAAGCTGAGTGTATAGAAGCAACCAAGCAAGTGAAGAGCATTATAGCCCACAAGAAGAAATACGTGGAATAACTAGCGACGACAGCTGAAAAAGCTGCAAGAGAAAGAAATATGGAACAGCTGTATGATACAACGAAGAAACTAGGAGGGAGATATAGTAAACCAGAGAGACTGGTCAACGACAAAGAAGACAGGTCAATCACTGAGATTCATGAACAGAGGAACAGATGAGTAGAGTACTCTGAAGAACTCCTGAATAGGCCGGCTCCAATGAATCCATCGGACATCGAAGCAGCACACACAGCTCTTCCTATTGATGTCAATCCACCAACGACGGAAGAAGTCAGAATGGCCATCAGACAAGTCAAGAGCTGGAAAGCAGTAGGGCCTGACAACATACCAGCTAAAGCATTGAAATCAAACATTGGAGTAAATACAAACATACTTCACCTTCTGTCCACAAAGATTTGGGGGGGAGGAACAAGTACCGATGGACTGGAAAGAAGGACACCTCGTCAAGATTCCAAAGAAAGGAGATCTGAGCAAATGTGAAAACTACAGAGGGATTACACTACTGTTAATACCAGGTAAAGTCTTTAACAGAGTGTTGCCGGACCTGATGAAAGATGCAGTAGACGCCCAACTTCGAGATCAATAAGCTGGATTCCGTAAGGATCGGTCGTGCACAGACCAAACTGCGACACTACGGATCACCGTCGAACAATCAATTGAGTAGAACTCGTCACTGTACATCAACTTCATTGATTGTGAAAAGGCATTTGACAATGTAGATAGGAGGACATTATGGAAACTTCTTCGACACTACGGAGTTCCTGAGAAGATTGTCAGTATCATCCGGAACTCATTCGACGGACTACAGTGCAGGGTCGTGCATAGAGGACAGCTGACAGATGCATTCCAAGTAAGGACAAGAGTCAGACTGGGCTCTCCATTCTCTCTCTTCCTCTTTCTTCTGGTGGTCGACTGGATTATGAAGACCTCGACATCTGAAGGAAAACACGGAATACAATGGACAGTTTAGATGCAAATAGACGATTTGTACTTCGCAGATGACCTGGCCCTCCTATCGCGTACACATGAACAAATGCAGATAAAGACAACCGGTGTAGCAGCAGTCTCTGCATCAGTAGGCTTCAACATACACAAAGGGAAAACAAAGGTCCTCAAATACAACACGCAAAACAGCAATCCAATCACTCTTGATGGCGAAATTCTGGAAGATGTTGAATTCTCCGCATACGTGAAAAACATAATCGATGAACAAGGAGGATCAGATACAGACGTAAAGGCGAGGATTGGCAAAGGAAGGGCCGCATTCCTTCAGTTGAAGAACATATGGAACCCAAAACAACTTTCAACCAATATCAAAGTGAGAATCTTCAATACGAATATCAAGGCAGTTCTACTGTACGGAGCTGAAACTTGAAGAACTACAACAACCATCATCAAGAAGGTCCAATTGTTTATAAATAGCTGTCTACGCAAGATACTCATCATCCATTGGCCGAATACCATCAGCAACAGCCTTTTGTGGGAGAGAACAAACCAGCTTCGAGCTGAAGAAGAAATTAGGAAAAGACGATGGAAATGGATAGGACATACATTACGCAAATCGTCAAACTGCATCACGAGGCAAGCCCCCAATTGGAATCCTGAAGGGAAGTGTAAAAGGGGAACGCCAAAGAACACATTACGTCGGGAAATAGAAGCAGATATGAAAAGGATCAATAGGAACTGGAAGGAGCTGGAAGTGATTGCCCAGGACAGGGTTGGATGGAGAATGCTGGTGAGCGGCCTATGCTCCTTCACGAGGAGTAACAGGTGTAAGTAAGTTAGACGAGCCGGCTGCATCTGCCAACCGCATTTCAGAAATCATCAAATCTCCTAATACCGAGGTGTTTTCAGTCAGAGAAAAGTCTCAAACGACTCAGAATGAGATAACAGAGTTATGTCATACACTTACACGTTATCTTGAATTTCGTAACGACCGTAGACGGTCACACGCCTCGCGAAGAAGCACTTCACGTAAGCGATCTGTCTCTAAACCACGGGAGATTGATAACCCCGACTGATGCTCGTATTATAACCGGTATGGAAAGTCTTCCAGAAATTTCAGAAAACCCTGCAATTTTCCCAACTCAAAACCGACCGACACGAAAAACATTTCGGGAAACTTCCATGCCGGCACGCGTTAACGGCAACCGTAGCCGGCGAATATAGACGTCTGTTGTGCTTCACAGATGTGATAACGAGAGTTCGCTATCTCGTCGACACTGGCGCAGAAGTTAGCGTTCTTGCAGCAAATTA